GTGTGCTGTGCCTGGCAGGTGTGAACTGACCCATTACCACCCCCACCCCCTCCAGAGAGTGTGTGCTGTGCCCGACAGGTGTGAGCTGACCCCTTACCACCCCCACCCCCTCTGGCTTGGTCTTCACTGAGGTTTGCTTCCCTGTGTGCACTGAGGTATTGGTTGATTAGTTCCAACCTGGTATTGAGTGTGTGTGTTTGCTCCTCTGTTCTTGTGATGTTGCACTTAGAAGAATGGTGTCCAGTTCTCTCCAGGTTGTCACCAAAGACACCAGATGGCCATTTCTTATAGCTGAGCAGTACAGTATAGTATGGTATGCACACACCACATTTGATTGACTGACTCGTGTGTTGTTTCCATGCTTTATCATTTCTGTTTCTGTTCCTGTGTCTTGCCCAGTTTTTAATGGGGCTGTTTGGTTGTTTCAGAGTTATTTCATTTTTCTGGCTAGAAAAGAATTTTTATCTCAGCTTATGGGATGTATGTTACTGGGAACGTTAGTAAATATAATCCTAACACATCCTATGAAAAATGTTTTAATAATAAAGTAATCTGGAAATTAGTGTAAGTATGAATGAGTTTCTGATAGTGTTTATAGACTAAGGAAATTACTACAGCAGATAGGGACGATGTTCTGTTGATCAAGGCTGTACCTGTATGGAGAACAGCTGGGGTGCCAGTCGGAAAATGAGAAACAGGGCTGGGCGTGGTGGCTCACGCCTGTAATCCCAGCACACTGGGAGGCCAAGGGGGAAGTTCAAGACCAGCCTGAGAGTGGAGTGAGATCCCCTTCTCTACAAATAAATCAGAAAAACAATTAGCCACTCATGGTGGCCTGCACCTATAGTTCCAGTTGCTCAGGTAGTTGAGGCAGGAGGATACCTTGAGCCCAGGAGTTGTGATCCGTGCCACCTGCGGTGAACTGTGATTGTGCCAACGCTCTCCAGCCTGGCAGCAGAGTGAGAGCCTGTCTAAAAAAAAAAAAAAAAAAAAGAAAGGAAAAAATGCTTATGTCTAGGGTATGGCAAACAAAACAACTCCTGCCCCCAAACACACAAAACTCAAAGTGATAATAGATTTTTTTTTACAAGGAAAAACTCAAAGAGGACCCTGTGACCCATAGAAGCACAGTGGCTGAGAGCACAGCTATTTAAATCCCCTGTGTGACATGCGCTGACTGTATGACCTGGGTGGAGAGCATGGGTGTACAATTCTCATGTGATGTTTCCTTTTGTTCACGTAGTATTTTCATCTGTGTAATGTGGGCTAGCGTAGGTCAGCCTCAATTTAAATATAATAATGAATATAAGGTGCTCAGCACATGATCTGGTAGCCAGAAAATATTCAGTTTTCATGAGTTATTACTATTCTTCTTGAAATAATAAAATGGTAAAAATATTCTTCATATTGGATTCTTTTTAGCTTTTATTAAGGTATAATGGATACAAAAAAATTGGACACACTTAATGCATACATCTTGGTGAGTTTGGACATAGGCATGCAGCTATGATATCATTACCACAGCCAAGGTTACAGTGAGCTGTGATTGCACCATTGCACTCCAGCCTGGTGGACAGAGTAGGAACCTGTCTCAAAAACTAAAACCAGAAACAAGTGCATATGATGCCAAGAAGCATAAACCCACACAGATTTACATCCAAAACAGGAAAGCAACAGAGCGGCAATTCTCATCACTGTGAGGAGGAGTAAGTATCGAGTGCCCCAGGAGAAGGATCTGGGGGCGCATCATGCATTAAGCTTCAGGAGAAGGGAGCAAAGGCAAAAAGCCTGGTCAAGTCAGGAGAAGGTCAGTTCTTAAAGCTGCCTGTGTGTGTTAGAACAGTACAGATCTCATGAATCTTACAGTCATGTCTACTGTGTATAATACGCATAGCTTATTTTTACTGATGACTTATCACATGCTGGTGCTGTTTTTTATATTTCTTATCTGATTCATCTGCACCAACCACCTTATGCAGTAAGTTCTGTGAAAACGGGCTTCAGTGAGAGTGCTGACTGTCCACACAGCTGGTGCTCAGCACAGCTGGGACGTGGTCTCTAAGTCTGACATCACGCAGTGTTTCCGTGGGGTCCATTATTATGCTGATTTGGGCTAATGTTTATTTTTCATTTTTTTTTTTTTTTTTTGGCTGGGACTGGGTTTGAACCCCTTACCTCAGGTATTATGGGGCCAGTGCCGTACTCCTTGAGCCACAGGCACTGCCCTCATTTTTATTTTTTTAAAAGTTTATTTTTCTAGTTTTTTGAAGACAAGGTCTCATGCCATCACCTGGGCTGGAGTGCAGTGTTGACATCATAGCTTGCTGTAACTTCAAACCCCTGGGCTTAGTGACCCTCCTGCCTCGGCCTCCTGAGTAGCTGGGACCACAGGTGGGTGAAACCACGGCTGGCTAATATTTTCATTTTTATATTTTTTGTAGAGACAGGGACTTTACTCTTATTCAGGCTAGTCTCAACCCCTGGCCTCAAGTGATCCTCCTGCTTTGGCCTCCAGAAATGCTAGGATTACAGGCATGAGCCACTGTGCCTGGCCCTGTGATTTTTAATTTTTACAAAAAATGGATAATAAATATAGGTGAAGTTTACTGATACATTATTACCATATAGTACTATAGCATAGAAATTTGAGTTATTTTTGCCTGCTAAGGAGATGGTCAAATTTCTTTTAAAAACCATAGACAATTATTAGAAGATTCTGTTTTTTATTGGTTTCTGCTTATTTCCTGATTAAGAACAAGAGTCAGAAAAGCAATATAATGATGATAAAAGTATAAAAGAGAGAGAAATTAGAAGGAATTTTACTACCTTATCAACTTAAATTTTTTTCTTATAGTACTTATTCATGTTAAAGTCATATTTAGTAGAGCTATGCTTATAGCATGAGTATCACTTCATATTGGGTGTTATACACTCACCATTTTATCATAAATATTAATATGTGGCTACCGGGCTAAGTAATCTATTGTTAGTTATCTGGGTACTAGATTCTCAAGGAGAAGTTTAGGAGCTCTACTTTTCACCCATTGGTTGTTTCTAATTTTTCACAATGAATATTTTTATCAATAAAGATTGCAAAAATATTTTAACATTTTGAATTATTTTCTTGGTATACTTTACTATGCATATGATTTCTAGTTAATAGTATGAATATTTTTACAGCTCCTAATAAGTACTGCTGAATTGTTCATGTTTATAAAGTACCAACAATTTATATTAATTTTACCACAGCATTGCCAGAACATATTCACCTAATCAATTTCACCGTAACTTAATTGGTACAATGCACTATTTCACTGGTGTGTTGAATTATCTTTCATCATCATCAAGATTAAATATTTTCCTTACATATTTATTCACTATTTTTCCACTTTTTGTAAATTGTTTATGTTTTATTAGACACAGGGAAATTGATATTATCAATTTATATGTGTTTTTTATATCATTGAGTATATATTATAAAATATTTTAGGTGGCGTACAAAACTAATCCCTTGCCATTTTTTAAAAAAATTATCATTGTGTACATTAATGCAGTCATGGGGTACAATGTGCTGGTTTTATATACAATTTGAAATACTTTCATCAAACTGGTTAACATAGCTTTCATTGCATTTTCTTAGTTATTATGTTAAGACATTTATATTCTACATTTAGTAAGTTTCACATGTACCCTTGTTAGATGCACTGTAGCTGTGGTCCCATCTATTACCCTCCCTCCATCCATCCTCCCCCCTCCCCTCCCCTCCCTTTCCCCATATTCTTGGGGTGCAATTGGGTATAATTGAGTACATTCATATGAAAGATATAAATTAGTTTCATAGTAGGACTGAGTACATGGGATACTTTTTCTTTCATTCTTGAGATACTTTGCTAAGAAGAATATGTTTCAGCTCCATCCATGTAAACATGAAAGAGATAAAGTCTCCATTTTCTTTAAGGCTGCATAGTATTCCATGGTGTACATATACCACAATTTATTGATCCATCCATGGGTTGATGGGCACTTAAACTTCTTCCATGACTTAGCAATTAGGAATTGGGCTGCAATAAACATTCTGGTACAAATATCTTTGTTATAATATGATTATTGGTTTTCTGGATATATACCTAGTAGAGGAATTGTAGGATCAAATGGCAGGTCTATTTTTAGTTCTCTAGGTGATCTCCAGACATCTTTCCAAAAGGAACATATTAGTCTGCATTCCCACCAGCAGTGTAGAAGTGTTCCCTTTTCTCCATGTCCACATCAACATCTCGGGTTTGGGGATTTTGTGATGTGGGTTAATCTTGCTGGAGTTAGATGATATCTCAAGGTAGTTTTGATTTGCATTTCTCTGATGATTAAGGACGATGAGCATTTGTTCATATGTTTGTAGGCCGTGCGCAGGCCGTGCCCCTGTCTTCTTCAGAGAAGTTTCTCTTCTCTGAACAAGGATCAGTTGTTCTTTTCTTGCTACTATGTTTGAGTGCTCTGTGGATTCTGGTTATTAAACCTTTGTTGGAGACATAACCTGCAAATATCTTTTCCCATTCTGAGGGCTGTCTGCTTGCTTTACTTACTGTGTTCTTGGCTGTGCACAAGCTTTTTAGTTTGATCAGGTCCCAGTAGTGTGTTTTTGATGTTGCTTCAATTGCCCGGGGGGTCCTCCTCATAAAATTTTTGCCCAAGCTGGTTTCTTCAAGAGTTTTCCCTGCACTTTCTTCTAGTATTTTCATAGTTTCATGTCTTATGTTTAAATATTTAATCCAGTGAGAGTCTATCTTAGTTAATGGTGAAGGGTGTGGGTCCAGTTTCAGTCTTCTACAGGTCGCCAGCCAGTTCACCCAGCATCATTTGTTAAATAGGGAATCTTTTCCCCACTCAATGTTTTTAATTGGCTTGTCAAAGTTCATATAACGGTAAGTAGCTGGGTTCATCTCTTGGTTCTCTATTCTGTTCCAGACATCTACCTCTCTGTTTTTGTGCCAGTACCATGTTGTTTTGATCACTATCAATTTATAGTATAGTTTGAGGTCTGGTAGCATGATTCCTCCTGCTTTATTTTTATTTCTGAGTAATGTCTTGGCTATTCGACATTTCTTCTGATTCCATATAAAACGAAGTATTATTTTTTCAAAATCTTTAAAATATGACAGTGGAGCTTTAATGGGTATTGCATTCAAATTATATATTGCTTTGGGTAGTATGGACATTTTAACAA